GATCCCAGGGTCCTGGGATCGAGTCCCACATCAGGCTCCCTGCTCCTTGGGAGCCTGCTTCTCCCTCTGCCTCTCTCTCTGTCTTTCATGAATAAATAAAATCTTTAAAAAAAAAAAAATAGATGCAATATTTTCCTCTCACTGATTATAGCGCCAATGGGACTTACCAATTAAATCACAAGAAGATCGTTTGGTAATTTGAGCACAATTTAAATAAGCACTAAGCTTAATTCTGACCATTAAAAGCTTTTTTAGCAAAATTTATTTTCAAAGCCTGACATAACTTCAGTTAATAAAAAATGCTTCCATGACAGAATCTCTTAACTTTCAAAGTAGGAATTTTAAATTATTTAGCGACGGAAGAGATATAACCTTCAAACTTTGTTTTTTATTACAGATCAAACATTTCTTCTCAACTATTATTAAAGGACTGCATCTGATATAGACAATAGGCAGATTTATTAAGCGATACTATATCCTCAGCAGTGTGCTATGGACTGAGAATATATACATAATCATAAAATATAAACTATACAGAGCAAGGGTCCCAATTACAAGCCTGCCTGAGAGACACAACTTGGTCGCATCACTGAGGGTAAGAGGTAGCAAACCAAAGAAACAGAGGTGTCCCCCACTTTTCTATAGTTCACATTGTGTCACTTCGCTTTCATGAAAGATCTATGTTTGTACCTGTTAGAGCTAACTGAAAGAAATCCATAGAAGATTTTCACTTTGATGAAATCAGGTGAAAAGCAGAAACGCATTCAGCGCCTGTTTTGCAGCAGTAAGCCCTTCTAGAGACAGTGCGCGTGCGCACACCCCAGCAGCAAGAGGGACAGGGCCAAGGTCCTTCCCTGGGAGCTACGCTTACCATCTGAGCATCAACCCACCAAAGCTTTGAACTGTGTCTGTGAGCATCTCAGCTTTACCTCGATTTATTTTGTGCATCCTTTAGCAAGATGTGCCCTAAAGCATCAGAAAAGCCCAAGACATTACTTTTTGGCTCTGGGAACGCTCAAAATTTTTCCATATAAATTAATGGTATTTGCTTCTTCACCTCATGCTATTTCGATTTACGGAAGGTTTCACAGGAATGATCCACTTCTGATTCATGGGGAAACCTGTAATAGTGATATAATTTTTTTAATCAAGTAAAAAAAAAAAAGGATAGTAATTTGATCTGGATTTTGAAATAGGCTCTGCAGTATATAGAAATAAAGGGGCAGGGAATGGAAATGATTTATATTCATTTATAGAAGTCTGACATTTTGATGGTATGATTTATAAAAAGGAAGTTTGAGGGGCGTCTGGGTGGCTCAGTTGGTTAAGCACCTGACTCTTGATTTCATCTCAGGGTTGTGAGACTGAGCCCCACATGGGGGCTCGGGGCTCTGCCCTCAGCTTGAGATTCTCTCTCCCTCTGCCCTCCCCTGCCCCTGCTCACACTGTAAATAAATAAATAAAATCTTTTAAAAAAAAAAAAAAAGGAAGGTTTGGACTTGGCATCCTTGTGGCCCCACGGTTGGTCAGATCTAGCAAAAGGAGATCACCAAGAAGAGAGAGGAGCAACGTAGCAACATGGCCCCTGGCACAATCCATTCCATCTCATACCCACACTCTTGCAGCCCCCGATCTCTGAGAAGGGGAGGTGAAGGGGAATGGGGCTTTGAGTGGAGGTTTTCTACCCCATCTCAGGACACCTTAGGCCGAGCAGCCCACTAGGAGCACTGTCAACAATAAAATAGCACACTGAACAGCCCACAGTCCAGGCCAGACTCACATGAAGGCAGAATAGGTAGCTGTCTGTGTTGTATTATTTTAAGATCACCAGAAAGTACCTCCCTTACCTCTCCTCTGGACCCATCAACAGTGTAATACTCAACCATTCCTCAGTTTTTTCCAGCTAAATTGTCAAGTGCCCAAATTATCCCAATTAATTTATTAAATAATACTGCTGACTTCTGCAAAAGCATATTAAATTTGTCCAAGCCTATTAAAATCAGATTTCAACCTCTACAGATAGTTGAGAAGTTTATTGGACAGAAAACCCAAGATAAAATGATTTAATGAAGAAACAGAGAAATCACTCAGTAACATGAAACACAGCTGTAAGGGGAAGGTGTGGATTTGAAAAAACCCCAAAGGAAAAGCGTAGTTCATCCAATGTTTGCCCTACTCCATAATTCCATTCAGAAATGGTTAATTCCATTCAGAAATGGTTTTGAGTTGTTTAGTAAGAAACTCTTTTGGAGTCTAGACAAGGACCCTCCCTGCTGCGCTCAACTCCACTGAGGGCGTTGGTGATCCAAAGGCTGCTGATTCACAGCATGGATGTACTGTCTGTGAAGCTCTCTAACCACCCTGAGAGGAAAATGCAATTTTGAATTCACCAAACTCTCAAACGAGGGTAAGCACTGCTGAGCAATAGGGAAGTACAAATGGAAGTTGCTATTTTGATCTTAATCTAGCCATGCCACTTTTAAGAAAGGGTTACCATGAATTTGGAGATCTTCAAAATTACTTGGCATTCTGAGGATCTCTCTTATTTACCCACTAGGGACCATATGAATTCTAAATTTATTTTCAAGAGATTCATGTAAAGATTGTGAACTAGCACTGCCCGCTTAACTTAGCATTTGTGTCATCAATGTAAAACAAGATGGCTGCCACATATAGCAATGTTCCCCTCACTGGAGTTATTGGGAGTTTTGGGATTGCTGAGTTCCAGAAAATGCCTAACTGCCACTTGAATCAAAGGCTAATGAAATGGCTCTGCAATGTTCATTTGGCAGCTACCCTTTTTCAGTATTTAAAATTTTATGTTCCATAACATTTTATAGAATCTTCACATCACAATTTATACCAATTACTACTCTACTGCATTTGAAGTTAACTTTAAAGGAAAAAGGTGCTTTTTTTTTACTTCCCATACAGTTACAAATTTTACTTTTCTATAATGTCATATATTATTCCAGTAACCTGGATCTTCTTGATGTTGTTTTTAACCAAGAAGTACACATTTCTGAAGATGTAAAACAGAGCTCAAAGTTGGGCTCACAAAACCACCAAAATCAAGCTCGTAACTCTTTTCCGAATGTGCACAGAACAAAAATAGGGAAGAAATATAGCTAAATATCAATAGTAGTTGTGTCTGGGTAGAGGGATGAGGAATAATTTCCTTTTTCTAAGTCTTCTAGATTTTGTAGTGAAATAACAAACATTAAAGAACTGGCCATTTAAACATTTATGGATACCTACCCACATCTACGTCATTCAGTTACATAAATACAAATACTGCTATTAGTTTCCTATCTTTTTTAAAACAAAAACGTTCAACCGAATGCTTTTGCTTCTCAAGAAATCTTACATTAAGAACATTTACCACATCAGATGGGATAAAGACCATATTAGGCTCAGATATAGCTGAATGTCAACATTTAAGAAAAAAGAGCAAGTTATCAAGCTATTTACCATTATCATTTAATTGTATAGAATTGACTGTCTTGATTAAAGCCAAAATTTGCCTCAAATACATTCACAGAAGTTCAGTTCAAAAATATAAGCCTAGCATTAGCCAATGCTAGGTATATAGGTGACTACCATCTATAATGAAGAAATATTTTCCCACTTACAACCAACACGATTACTTTACAATTAAAGTACAAGTAGAACCACAATTTAAAATGTGATATTCTTTTCCATTGTATAGGAGTATATAAAAATTGCACAGTAATATGCAAAACAGGAACCATGGAAAAGAGGGTTCATGTGTTTTGGCCACCACTCCTCCTTTATAGTTCCAGGGCTATAAATAGGTCAAAGGAGTGGCTTCTATCTGTGATTCACACAATTCACAAAACTAGGATACGCAATCAAATATCCGTATAAAATCAGAAAATCAAGTTCCATGAGATGTGACCCTCTCTTCCAGATGACACTGGAAGCCTCTTCAGAATAACATGTTAAAAGTAAAACCAAGAATTTCTTCAGACTTCACATTTTTCCTTCCCATTTAAATGATCAGATTAACACATGAAGAACTCATCTTTTCAACAGTCTGAGAAAATAATAATCCTAAAACATATCAGTCTGCAACATAAAATTCATTATCATATACTATATTAATGTCATCAGGAACTACTTCAGATAGGAGTATTCAAAATGTTCTGAAGACAATTCACTATACGTGAGCCCCATTTCAGCGATGAGTGCTCACATTATTTTTAAAACATTAAAACAGGGGCGCCTGGGGGACTCAGTCAGTCAAGCTTCTGCCTTTGGCTCAGGTCATGATCCAGGGGTCGAGTCCCGCATCCGGCTCCCTGCTCAGCTGGGAGTCTGTTTCTCCCTCTCACTCTTCCCCTCCCCCTGCTTGTGCTCTCTCTTTCAAATAAAATCTTTTTAAAATTAATTAAAATAAAATAAAATACTAGAACAGGTGTCCTTCCTCTAGGACACTCAGCAGCTGCAACAGCTCAGTGCTACAGAGCCCTGGATCCAGGCAGACTGAGGCCAGCCCTGCCCCACGGGCACGGGGTGAACAAGCCTGAGGAAGTGACAGACCTCTCCATGCCTCAGGCTTCTCATCTCTAAAAATCTGATGACAAAATGCCTCCTTTGTGTCAGAAAGATTAAGTGAGAAAAGAGTCTAGCACTATCAGTAGAATTTGGTTGCCGTTACTCGATCATTAATTTTACACGTTTATTTTCACATCAAATCTTAGGGGGGAAATATTCTAAAGGCAATGAAAAGTGTGGATTCTCATCGGATTATATGTGCCTGGAGCTGCAGCTGTGAGCAAGGTGTGAATACCTTTCCGGAAGTGCCAAAAGGAGGCTGGGCGACTTGTGTGTTCCCATTTGGAAAAAGCCCATGCCAGGACCGCATTCCTCTGAATCAACTTTTATCTCATTCTTAACGGATGACGAGCATTTACGATCTGCTGACTATCAAGGATCTCCCACTAAGTCTGTTGTCCCTCCTGTCCTGAGGAACTCGCCTGAGTTACAGAAGGTCTTTTCTCCTTCCCTTTTCTCGCCAGTGTGTCCAGCCCTTTTAATGAAGAAAATATACCCTTCTTGTTTCTTCCTCGCTGGGTCAGGGAGAGTGTTCTTTTCCGGAAAGCAGAGTCATCTCTAGAACATACCTAATTAAAAACACAGTTTTAAAAATCTTAAGATATATTATTTGGGGTGACAGAATTAACCACTGCCTGAACAGAAGTAAGCCCTGCTTGCTGTAACCATCATGTGCTGACCAAAAGCTACTGCATGTCTGACATACCACACGTGCGTCCACCATTTGGCTATCTCTTATCTGGATAACGCCAGCCTAGTTACAACACTCAAATCTCTCCAGGGTGGGCAGTGGGGCCAGCAAAACGATCTGCAGACCGCCCCCCCACCCCCAGGCTGGAGCTCTCGTACTAGCCACAGAAGCCAGCCACCCAGGAGCCACTGTGGAAAACCCAGTGGGGCTCTGTGCAGTACAGACAAAACCCCCTTCGCTCAGCCTTTTCATTCTTCACACCCTTGTTGCTGCTCCTCAGGGATTTCCACCTTCCTGACTGTAGGAAGTGAAACAGAATGGAAGATACAGATGTGCATATTTCATAACCGTCTACAAGGAGCTGGGTTCCTAGAAGTGGTGGCAGAGAAGCCAGGACTCTCTAGAGCAGGCTGCCTCCCACCCTCCAACCCCGCAGAGTCTGCCCTCCCCCCCAGGGGGCGGGGGGAGCCCCTGGCCAGTACTGGGTTAAGTCCCAGGACAGCTGAAGGGCAACCAGCTGGGAAAAGGTCAGTGTCCGCAATCCTCCCTGAATGCCACAAACAGCCCTTCCCAGGAACTTACCAGAGCATGGAAAGAAGAAACAGACAAGATGCCCAGCCTGCCGAGGGCCAGCTTGGAGGGGCGGCTGGCAGCAGCGAGGAGGCTCTTGGGGTTTGGCAGCTCCCCACCTTGTAGGCTGGCCAGATAGCAACGCATCCTAAACAGATCCATGTGAAACTTCTCCAGGTTCTGCTCCCATTGCTGGATCTGTTTAAGAAAGAACAGCGTAATTGAAATGACAATGAGAAGTTTTTATGGGTCCAACTGAAAATATGATCCCTTTCATAAACTTCAAGGAACAATCTGTTTCAGCTGGTGCTGCGTGGTTGAAATGAGCCTTCCCTGCTCAGCCCCTCGCAAGCCCTCCTGCCCAAACACAGTGGGTCAGACAGCACTGGACTTCATCAGGACGGCCCCAAACAGAACAAAGCCAGTGGTCCCAATCCAAAACCACACCAAGACTACACGACCTCTGGAGAACTCCAGCACACTAAGCCGTGCCAACTTAAGGCAGGATACACAACTATAAGTCAGTTACTTCACTTTAATTTCCCTACACTTCGCCAGCCTCTGATCTTAAACCAGATTAAGTGAACCGCACACAAACAGATGCTGCATAATGGACACAGTGTCTTTACGTTGCCATCCGTGCATTCTGAGTAAATGACTCAAAGTAATAAGAAGCAAATGGGCTTCAGGGGTAAAAGGCAAATAGAGCTTTTACTCCTATTTTAAGTGTATTACAGAATAATCGCCATCTATACATCTGAATGAAATTAAAACGCATTTTTACACCACTGAAATGACTATGTGCTTCTTCAAAGCTGAAACTGTGAACTGGTAAAGAAAGACAGTCAAATTCTGAGGGCCACTTTCCCTCCTTCCACGGATCAAAACACGTTTACGTGTAAGTATTACCTTTATTTAAAGATAACCCAAAAGGTGAAGAAGGCCCTAGAAACTTGCCAACACAGGGATTCAGCGGCAGAGCGGAAAGCTGGCCTTCCAACGGTAGTCAGAACAATCTCCACATTCAGGAGAAGGTCTGCAGTGGAGGCTTGTAATGAGATGCACATGTCACTTCACCTGCACCAGCTGCATCGCTGGTTTGGCCCTGGTTAGGCTCCAAGCAGATTCTAACTCTTCATGGCAAACTTCCCAGGTCAATCCTTAATTCTGGATAAATGATATTTTGAAGGATCTCCAACACTGAACACTCTGGTCCTTTCAGTCTCTCCTGAGAGAAAAGCAATACAAACTCTGACTATTCCTCACCGCCCCTCCCCCCCACCCAGGTTCTCTGGATCGATTTCATAGGAAGGTCACCCTGCACCTTCTCTACATGGAAGAAATACAATGGCTACCGGATCTAAAATGATCTGTTGATTCATCATGGTCTGTCAGCAAAACAACAAATTCCCAGAGTATACCGAAAATTCTCAATCTCTGCGGCAAATTTAACCTTGTGTAAGCTTCTGTACATCCGTATTAGTGACGTGATAGCCACCTGGTGTCAGCCTTTTAGGAATACTAGAACAACCTGTTGGCTTTTATCAATAAACCTGTCTAGGCCAGATACGTGCGGAAGCTACTCATGAAGTGTGAAGGCTAGGGAAGTTTACGATTCAAAAGCAACTCCAGCAATTCTGGTTCATAGCCTTAGTGAGGACCACTGCTCTAGACCAACAATCCAGTCCAAACCAAAACTGCAAATCTCTTCTTGATCTTGCCAATTCTAGATTCCAGAAGTAACAAATGGCTAGTATGCAACCATAAACTGACACCTACCAGAAGCTGTAAGCCATAGTGAAAACTATACTCCCAGTTCTGCCTCTCAAATATCTTCTCTAGGTGATTCCTGAAAATCCACCATTACAGATGCATTCTTTTGTCTTCTAATAATCTGTAGATGTTTCCAGATTGGGTAGTGTATTAAAGCATATCCCTCCTTTATACCTCCACATGAAACCGTTTTTACAAGATAATTTTTAGGGGCTGTGTTGTGGATGGAAGCATCAGAGGACAGAAAACCAACCAGGCACCGGATACCACAAGAGAAAGAAGCCCACGCCATCCATGGTGGAGTAAAAAGACAAAAATATAAAGTAAAACAAAATCCGGGTCTATGCCAATCATGAGAGATCAGGGAAGATGACACTCATATTTTCACTGAATTGTGCAGTTTACAAAGTATTTTTAAAGGCGTCACTTAATGTATTTATGTGACTACACATCAAAACATCACTGGAAAGTAAAGACCATTCCAGCCCAGCTTTACACAGGCAGTCTTAAAATCTTGCCAGAAACTCTGTGATCATCTTCAGCATGCCTCGACATCTCCACCCAAAACTCGGGACAACATGCAGGTAAATTCATGAGAAGAAAATGGATTCAAATGCTAACGTCATTTGGAAGGAAGAAGAGCTCAGGGGACCCAGAGAGCCTAAAGCAAACCTTACAGAGATGAAGAAGTTCATTAACATACGCAATTATGTTTCAAGAGAACGAGTTTCAATCAATACTGTACATGGTAGAGGTCGAAATTTAAATTTAAATTAAAAACGCAAATGAGAAGGGACTTTATGACTTCTCCATTCCAACAATGCTTCCCCTGTTCATCCTGACTCAAGCCTTTGTGATGGCTTGTACTATATGTGTCAACATGACTGGGCCACCGGGTGTCCAGAGTTGTGGTCAAACATTATTCTGGGTGTTTCTATGAGCGTGTTTTTGGATGAGAGTAACATTTATTTATTGTTGTTGTTTTGGGTTTTTTTTGTTTTTTTACTCAAGCACTGCTAGTATCTATTGGTTTCACCCTGGAAAAGATAAGCTTTCATAGAATAATTACTTCCTAAAGTTCATCTTTTTTTTTTCTAAATTAACATACAATGTATTATTTGTTTCAGAGGTACAGGTCTGTGATTCATCAGTCTCACACAATTCACAGTGCTCACCACAGCACGTACACTCCTCAATGTCCATCACCCAGCCACCCCATCCCTCCCACCCCCCTCCACTCCAGCAACCCTGTTTGTTTCCTGAGATTAGAAGTCTCTTATCGTTTGTCTCCCTCTCTGGTTTCGTCTTGTTTCATTTTTCCCTCCCTTCCCCCATGATCCTCTGTCTTGTTTCGATGTAGATGGAACTAGAGGGTATTATGCTAAGTGAAATAAGTCAGAGAAAGACAAATATCATATGATCCTACTGATATGAGACATTTGAGAGAGTAACATTTAGATGAGTAGGCTGAGTAAAACTGGTGGGCCTCACCAATCAGCTGAAGGCCTGAATACAGACCAGAAAGGCTGACCCTTCCCCAAGGAAGAGAGAATTCCTCCCACCTGGTGGCCTTCCAGTTGGGATATTGGCTTTTTTTTCTGACTTTGGACTTGAACTGAACTATCAGCCCACCCTGGGTCTCGAGTCTGCCAGTCTTAGAATGGGAACAGTACTATTTTTGAGTCTTGCTGATGCTGCAGATCTTGGGACTTGTGTGTCTTCACAATCATGTGACTGTGTTTGTTATAATAAATCTCTTTATACATATTCTTTCATACATCGTATTGGTTCCATTTCTCTGGAGAACCCTGAGTGATCCAGCCTTCACCGCCACAGATTTCTACAGCAGAGTCAGTCATCATCGGCCACACAGTTGCTCCATATTTAAAGACAATATTTCTCAGTTTTGAAGGCCGTGGTTCTTTTAGAGAGGATTCACCAATGGAGGTTAAATGAGGATTTGTGGTTGGAAAAGAAACAATGAAATATCTGATTTTTCTTTCGACAGACTCACCGAAGCTGTAGAGAAGGAAATGGGAGAATACTGGGTGAAAGTACGGTGAGGACATGGATTCAGATGCTTGGGTTACTTGGAGGGCAGAGGGAAGCAAAAAGCTGACCCACAAGCTCCAACAGACCTCGTGACATTGAGAAAGTCTGCGAACATATGCAGTGAGCTTGCTCGGGCAACAGCATTACCACACCTTTGCTTCTCAGCAGAGGAAACGGAGCCCCCAGACGGGAGTGACTCGCCCTTCCAGACTAGCAAAGGCCCAGAGCAGATCCTGAGGTGAGCAACACGTGGGAATGAGCTTCTATCAAGCACTTACAATGCAGCCCCTGAACAACGTCTATGCACTCTCTGAAACCTACTGCAGCAACTCTCCTGTAAATTTTCATCTGTCACCTTTATTTCTCCCCACAAATCCCCAGGTGTTCAACATGGAAGGCTGTAAAACTAGCTACTTGGGTGCCCTATTCCTACTGAACATTTTGTATTTCAGTCTTCTACCAGCTTTGATGTACAGAGCTCAGCCCAAGTTTTAAGCTATGTTTTTAAGTTTTGAGAGAGAGAGAGAGAGAGAGAGAGAGAGAGAGCATGCACAAGCAGGGGGGAAGGGCAGAGGGAGAGGGAGCAGACTCCCCACAGAGCAGGGAGCCCGATGCCACACTCCCCGAGATCACGACCTGAGCCGAAGGCAGACGCTTAACCAACTGAGCCACCCAGACGCCCCCAAACTTTAAGCAATGTTAATGAAAAAGATAAACATATTTTATAATTACCCCTCAAAAGATGAATAAAGTAGGAGATAAAGATACATTTTTACAAATGTAAAGGGAGAAACAGAAGACAGTTTTGTAGCTATTTACAATTCTACTTCGGGAAATTTCCATCACCATCATCACTAATACAGTAATGTTACCTAACATCACATTAATCAGGGAATTTCTGGAGATTTTTTTCTGAACATTATCAAACACTAAAATGCCCAAAATCAATTCCCTTAAACCAAGACTGTTTTTCCTTTTTTCTTTCTCTAAGTTCCTTAAATACTGATCATTGTCCCTAGACATTTATTTTTTAAGATAAATATCAGGACATGAAAATAAACATTCAACTTCTATGTAGATTGAGCTTTTATTCCTTCTAACATCCTGCACAAAACACAAAAATGACATGAAGAAAACTCACTCTAAGGAATTAACTTCCACTGCAAAAGAAAAAAGTACTAAGAACAAAATTAAGAAGGAAACCTCCCATTTTTTAAGCAATGTCATGAAAACAGTGCAAAAGTTTCCCCTCTATTGCTAATACGCTTTAGTCATTTAATGAGCTCAGGTTATGGTCCGCTGTAGAAAGTGGGGAGGGGGGAGGAGAGGAAGCCTAGTGCTAAAAATAACAGATGAGTAAGTGATACATAAAA